GTAGAGATGTGGTAGATCATGAGAAACAAAAGTTGTCGAGTTCGAGACTACGAGAAAAAACATTTCCTAAATCGAACTTAAGATTATAGTTAAATATTCCATGCATTTAACTAAATCCTGTTATAAGTCATGACCATCAATACATAATTCAAGAGAGGGTGTGGGTAAGAGTGTTTTATCTGCTCGTTAGTCATACCCGCACTCACACCCTCACCCTACTTGTTTCAAGTACTTCGACAAGCACGTGAACACGGAACATCCATAGTAGACGTTATTCCTCGCAAGTAAACAAGCAAACGTTAGGTGCTGGCTAATTTAAGCGAAAAGTAGTACAGTACTTCTCTTTCAACATTACAAGTACCTGATAGGTATTCGGAACCATGAAGACTTCTCGATAAATTTAAGCACCCAAACTGGCTTAAATGCGCTTACCAATATGATACACAAGTGCATACAAGTGCTGCATGTGTGCTTAAGCACACAGAAGCAGTTTGAAAATAGCTTATAATGAGAAAATTGTTCATATGGATGGTACTTAAGTATCGAGATTACATGATATAAGTAGTTATTTAAGTGATTCGTGAAATTTATGTCAATAAGCAAGTAATTGAAAAAAGTGCATAGACTAGAGTACCAGTTCTAAGAACAGAAAATGTAAAAACTATGAAAGCACCCTGCCGAATTTAGCGACTCGTTTTGAATCGAGAAACACAATGCGTTGTTTCGTAAAGGACCGCACACCGCATCGAATGGTATTGAGAAAATCGCGTTTTTATGAAGTTTTGGCGCTTTAAGACAAAACATATCAATTGAAGGACAATATAGCGTCTTGTGAAAGTTGTGATCCCTGCATATCTGAATACCAACTTGTGCGAATTTCTCTCTAAAATTCATTCCTGTAGAGTATGGGTTGCTGCTCAATCTCATATATTTGATAAATCTCGCTGTTGCTTCCTTCGTATTCGGAAACTGCTATCATTACCGTTACTCCTAAGTTTTCGATATTGGGACGCTCCAATGCTCTACATATTACACCCACGGGAAAAGGCAATCACACGCAAAACTTTCTACGAAATTGCGCGTTATTCATCTCTATTACTTTTGCATTCTACAAAGTTCTCAACAGAAGAGTGTCATGGTGAATTGATGCATCAGTACTTTCAAAAGGCCTATTTTTGACTGTAAGCCATGTAATGGTACTCTACTTCTACGATATTCACCTTCGTACTTGGAAAAGTTTCATCAACTATGAATCAGGGCACGATCTTCTACTCATCATCATAAACAACTATTTCGGAAATAAAACAATTAATGTTTTAGTTCTTAAGAATTGCTGGAGGGGGATACAGGACTTTTAAAAAATTTCACTTTTCAAAAGAATAGTACTTGTTTTTAGCATCTTATAGTGATTCGTCCACTGGACTGAGGAGTTATCTAATTTAGCTTCGAATATATATGAAAATTTAGAAAAATCGCTTCCATTTTTCGATAGGCAATAAGCAATAGAAATAGTTTATATAAATTACTTAGCGCAATCCAAAAGTAGTGAGATTGGTACTTTAATTTCTTATAAAAAGCTTAAAGAAACTGTCTCTCTATATAGACTGATAGAAAAAAGAATGCTCTATTTTTCTATCCTATTTTATTGTACTTCAACTGATATCATAATATTAATAAAATTTCGATAATATCTGTTTCCTCATCATATGTGCTGGTTGTATTAATACTCATTTCAAAAAAATACAAGTGATTATTTTTTTGAATAACTTTTGATAGAAACAAGATAGAAGTATAGTTTTCACCGTTGGAAAGAGAAAATGAAAATGCATCAAATCGTATATTCCGACATTTCTTAATTTTTTTTGCAAGATTTTCAATTGACCTTCTTAAGAACAAACCTATCTGGTAAGCTGTTCACAGTGAATTTCCAATGATCAAGTATAAATTGAAACCACTAAACGAGGATCTACAAAGTGTGAAAGGCTAAGTTAAATAACATGTATTCTAGTCGAGCATCTAATACGATCGTCTAAGAAAATCTGTGGAGAAAGCTCACTTGTATGCTTTTTCTTTTTTATTCATAAAACAAACATTTTGCTGGGAGTTAGAAAATTGAGTAAAAATACTTTAAAAATCAATATTAGAAAAACCTATAATCCACGATTCGATGCATGTTCATCTCGTCTTTCCAACATGAAAGTTGTAGTTCTCCATGTTTTTTCTATCAAAAGTTATTCAAAAAATACTCACTAACATTCATAGAACTGTGACACATACTTACAGAACACGTCTTATCGAAATTTTATTATTATGATATTAGTTGAAGTATGATTAAATAGCATAGAAAAACTAGAACATTCTTTTCTCTATCAGACTATTTAGAGAGAAAGTTTCTTTAAGCTTTTTATAAGGAACTAAAGTACTACTATCACTACTTTTTGACTATCCTAAGTATAATTTATAAATGAAAAGGGACATCCATGTTGAAAGAGCAAAAAAGCAAAAAAAATAATTTATATAAATTATAATTTATCAATTGATAAATGAAAAGGGGCACTCATGTTGAATGAGAAAAAAAGCAAAAGAAATAGTTTATATATTTAATTATAATTTATAAATGAAAAGAAACACTCATATTGAAAGAGCAAAAAAGCAAAAGAAATAATTTATATAAATTATAATTTATGAATTTATAAATGAAAAGAGACATCCATGTTGAAATAGCAAAAAAGCAATAGAAATGGGGTGTAGTGGGTGTGGTTATCGGTGTTGGTGTTAATGCTCTCTTCAACCACAACCACGCCCACCCAAAAAAACATTTTTTTTATTGTGAGATATATCTTCGATACATGAATTCAGTTCTCCTAATGATATAACATGTAGGAGGCAGGTCATAGAAATTGGGCAATCCTTCAAGCCTACCCTTCCTTCTCTCAACAAACTTCGACATATACTGTTGATGTCTACCTAAAATCAGAATTCAATTAGCTCATACTTTCGTTTACTGTCCTATTCTGACTTTTGCTAAATCAATAATATCATCGACCCATGGATTGATTCCTTCATTGTGTTAAATATCAAAATCTGCAATATTGAGACTAGTTATAAATCTTAAAATCATAGAATACGTTGCAAAATTCTAGAAGATTCCAGATTGCTCTAAGCACCGTCATTATTATTCAGTTTTTGCACGTTGCCAGAAGGGTGTGGGTGTGAGTGAATAATAGACGCCCACATCCTTATTGATTGGGCATGCGTTAAAATAGAAGAAGAAGAAGAATGTATTGCTGATAAAAATTAAATGGAGATTTTTTTTTTTTGTTTTGATAGAAAATGATTTATTATTTTTTCATTTCACCACACAAATAAAGATAATAAAAAAATGGCAAGAAAAAAAGACTGCCACAGATATTTTCTTCTTGTTTTTATTAGATTATTGTTTCAGGATTTGAATTAATATTTAAATTTAATTTCATTCTCATGAGTTGTTGTTGGATATTTTTGTTCACTATGCTCATAATAACACGTACATTGTGGTTCTTGTTGGCGGTAAATTGTAGTTGCTAAATGTTGATATGGACAATGTTTATCTTGAATGGTTTCATAAATTTGTTGAGAATCAAATAATGATAGAGAAAGATAAAAATGTTGTATCGGTATACTAAAATAACAACTTATAAATGCAGGTAAAAAAGGAATCATTCAATTATAAGCTTAGTAGTCGATAAAGAAAATCTCGATCAAGATTTTATATAAAGTCAATGATTATTAGACGATTTTTGTTTATGATATTATCTTTGTAATACCATTAATTTATTAAGATCTTCATAAGGATCTATTGCAATTGTTGTTGATTTGGTTGAAAAATGTCTTGTTGATAATGTTTGTTATTTTTGCACATCAACTGATGTTAATACTGGCGTTTCACTATATGTTATGGATGATGATGTGAATGTTGAGGTCAGTTTCTACTATTTACTTTTGAATCAATATTTCCTTCTGATCGTCTCTGTCTCTAACAAAGTATAATTAATATAAGAATATATGAAAATGTATGATGATGTTTAATATTATTATGATTTAAATGAGATGATTCAGTCAGAGGAATAAGAGAAGTTGTTGTTGTTGTTATAGAAGTCGATTTGGTTCGATTATTATATGACACTTGTAATGCTTGTTTACTATTAATCATTAACCAAAAACCTTTTCTTTTAATAACATCATTTGTTTTAAATATCTTAATTGAAATGATAAATTAAGAACAATTGAACCACAATAAGATCGATTATCTATTTGTAAATAATCACATGAACATAGAAGTTATTTATTTCATCATGCTCTTCAAGATAAAAATCAAGAAATTTGATATGAAGAATTTAATGAATTTTCATATTAGGCGTGGATAATTTGGACTATGAAGAAATAAACGATGTTTTTTATTTAATAATGTTGATATTGAACGATTATCACAAAAAAGATAAACTTGAACTTTGTAAATGTGAACAATTAAGTATCACTGACAATCTGTTTCGTAGAATAAAAAAAATATTTAAAATCTAGACTTTAACATTTATGCAAATATGGTTGATTTAACTCTAAATTACAAATAGTGAGTTTATTACATTACATTCCAATATATGATGTTCGCATTGTACAATCTCATGGTTGATATGAACAAGTTGATGTTGTTGTGTTTTACTGAAGTCATTTAACATTTTACCTTCACTAAAGAATGGAAGTCTATTTCTAGAATGTGATGAGCTACACATCGTTATCCACATTGTTTGCAAACAGTATTCGGTTTTTTTTTGGTACATTAAGATCTATTATTCATTAATAGGTAAAATAAGAGCAAAACTCTATGAGGAATGTCAAAACACGCCTCACCTTCCCCTTGACTACGTCTTGACTATTGATTTAAGAGAAGTTCATCAAGTATGGTGAAGAGTAGTGTTAAAGAAATAAAATAATATCATTCATTCATTATCTATTTACGCGAATGGTATTAACGAACGAAAGAATAGCGAAAAAAAAGTAGTGCAAAAGAAATAGTGAAGCAAAAAAATTGGCGAATATAAAAATGACGAAAGAGTCTAGAGCAGAAAATCCTTTGCAATCATATGAATTTGTCGAAAAAAAGTGTATTTCAACATTTTCGACCAGTGAAATGAAGATATTTTATTGTATACAGAAAAATAATCCATGTTTAAGTAGACGAACCAAAATAATAGTGGATCAAAACTATTCAGGCACAAAATCACGAACAAGGCTATATTTTGCTTTATGTGGGTATGGATATCAGTTCTCGCTTCATCTCTAATCTCGAACTTCAATCTCACTATTTGATAGAGGCACTTAATGGCATCCGGAACATTTTCGACATGTTTTTAGGGGAATAGTTTTTTCGCTATTTTGTTTTTCAGTCATTTTGATACATACCATTTACACCATTAGACCATATCGGTCAAACAAAACGAGCGATTATAAATATATAATAATTGATATTTATAAGCTAAGAAAATTCAACCATAGATGAAAATAAACATGGAATATTCATGTTTTTATTGGGTGTAAATAAACGATTAAATAAAATTGTAAATGATTCAATCTATCCATTATCTAATCCAATATTAGATCGATCCTGTTGGGAAATCTTACCAAAAATCCATCATAAAATCAAATAGCTTATTCTTGAATCATTATCTATGAAACGTTGTCTTTTTTCTGCAAATTATCTTTTATCTCTATGAACTTAGTATATATAATATTGAAATGGATACTGCTTCATATCTCTTTATTAGTAATATATTTTTATTTGAAATACTTTGAATAACTACTAATGCATTAAAATAGATGAAAATCAAAATGACTTATTTAAATAAATTCTATATATAGTTTACATATTTTATTTATTGCAAAATATTTTTGTATTTATCTACAAAATAAACGTAGTGAATATATGAATGAAGACTTTGGAAAAAGTATAAGATATTAATAGGAAAAGTGATTAAAGGAATAGATACTATGAGAATTCTTATTTTTCTCATCACTTTTGTCTTTATGTTTAGACAACATTGCTTTTATTCATATATTCAACGATTAAATTTTATCACTTGTCATTGGAAATATTAAGAAAGAGGGTTTTTATACAGACGATATAAATACATTTATATTTACAAATATCTTTCCGAATTTCCCTAAATTATAATATTTAGAATTTGATCCAACTTTTACTTGTGATCATTGAATATTATTCAATCTGTCACTTCCAACTGTTTTCTATTTGACTTTGCTAACATTGTATGTCAAGGTAATATCCTATTGACGATTGTCTTTATCTACTTGATAATCATTTCAATCAAATTCATACATCCTATGTTCATATAGTATTATCGTATTTCCCTTTGTTCGTAAAAATAAATAATAATAAAGTATGTCTTTTATAAAATGTCAATTTGAAAGAAATTGAAATTGTTGTTTTTTTTGAAAAAACGATCAAATTTAAAATTGTTTTCATTATGTTGTGTCCAGAGAATACATTTCTACGATGAAATAATTGTACCACATTTACATCGAATGTCAAATTTAGAAATACTCATTTTGTATTTTGACACCTCTTGCAGAAAAACATTTATTGATGGAACTCATTTGATGAAGAACATTATTAATTATATGCCAATTAAACAAAAATATCCTAGTGGATGAGATTAGATGTCAGAATAAAAGGAAAAATTATTCTTTTAATCATTTTTTCTTTATGAATAAAGTTTAACGTTTTATAAAAATACTTTATTTTAACTATTTGTGATTTTTTTTTTCGAAATTGCTGATGATTTTGAACCTTTTGTATGTTTTACTACATTGTTTCATGTCATTACCAAAAGAAAATTTGAGAAAATCAATGATTTCTTATCATTATGTATTCAAAATTATTTTCATATATCTCTTGTGTAAACGGTTTGTGGATGTTCATATCTTTTACTAAGAACAAATTTGTCAATTGATGACAAAATAGCAAAAATTTATTTTATTAAATTGATAAAGCCATGCAATACAAATTGAAAACACACTTTTAGGAGACAAAAAAAACCTGTTTTTCTGTATTCATTAAGTAGTTTATCAAAAATGAACAAATCTAGCATTGTTCTGTCTTTAGTAGAAATGTATCCATTTAGGAGATTACTATTCGGATTTAGTGGAAGTATATATAGAGAAGAAAATCAGTTTTATTTATGAAAAAGAACACGGATTTTTAGTGAATAGTGTCTATGGTCATCGACTTTTATAATATCAATAAAAATTTTTATATGCATTATTTTTTTGAATAAAATGAGGGACATAATAATGATTCTGATACATATCAAAGACTCAATGTAATATTTATGAGATTTTTCATAATCGGCTATTTGGTTTTTGAAAACATTTGGTTGTGACTATGTTTAATCGTATTTGTATTTCGTAAATTCTTAAACTTATGTTCATCGATATTTTATGTAGCATGTTAAACTTTATCAATTTCACCTAACAGCTCTAGATGATCATTATAGACATCTTTCATATTCATACAATCGTTATAATTACCGTATTAATAGTTGAATTTATATCATTTGAAGACATAAATTGATCACTTTTTCTTTTTTGTTTTTTTTTTCTATCAGTGACAGTATCCATTATTTTATTTAACAAAAAAAATATCATATAAAAATTGAAAATTGTTGATAAATGATAAGAATATTTCATAGAATTATCATTACTAGGTCACGGTACCAATAGAATTCATTAAAAGAGTGTTAAGAAATCAACTACATAACTAACGAACAAATCTCATCGTTGACAACGAATACTTGATGAAAAACAAAATAAAACAGTCATAATTGAAGTCTGGCTTGTGTGCGGGTGTGAAAAAGGTTCAGAAGATAAGACCTGCTCATACCAGTACTCACACCGTTGCGTTAGCTACTTTTCTATTTGTTATACTTTAATTGTGATGACATTATTAAGTCAGCTGTCATATCGACATCAGTTAACAGATTGATGTTTCAGTAAGTTTTGCATTGCATTTGATCAACGGTTTGAAAATTTGTTTTCGACGATAGTTTATTCCTAGAAAGATATTATGAAGAGCAATGTGCAGGAATTGAGAAATAAAAAGTTCGAAAGTGTTTGCGAGCTATCAGAAATATTATGGTAATTGCTTACAGAATCGAGAATTGATCATCAATCTTTGATCGTTTCAACATTTGTGATATTCCGAGTGACGTATTTTGTACATTAATCTTTGCCAGTAGACGTCAGGCACTAGTACAATTCGTCGCACATGCATTCTAGAGAATACATTGATTGAATTAAGTAATTTAGTTTAGACTCATAAGAATCTTTTTTCATAATACAATGATTTTCTCAAAAATAAAATAGAGATATCAATTTAAAGCCTATTTTAAAATTTAATTAAAAAAATTGAAGTTTGATTTTGGATAAAATTCGATGTATACAAATTAAAAATAAAGTTCATTTTTTTCAATTGAAATTTAACATTTTATTTAAAACAAAACTGAAAATTAAAACAAAAATAAAAAATTGAAAAAAAAATTTTAATGAATCTAAATAAAAAAATTAAAGCTTCTTATTTATTGAAAGAATAAATTTTAATGAGAAAAAAAAGAACTTTATTTCTAACTTGTCAACATGGAATTTTATTTAGA